AAAAATAAAAATAAAAAATAAAGTCCCTCTTGGGTAAATTACTATTTAAGGGCAGGAGTGCCACCTGCTGTCCTTAAGGTGCTACTGCAGTGCTGCCCACCCAATTCTCTGTAAGGGCAGGTCCTTCTCTACTGGAAGATAGTGTGGGCTCTGCTAGGTCAGTGTCTGATGCGTGAGGACATCTCAGTGTGGAGGCATGCTGGAGCCACTGAGGAGAAGAGAGAAAGCCCTTGGCCTAAGTCAACTGTATCTAGGTGGCATCTCCAAGATGCTCGGTTCTTATTAGGGCTTCCATATGGGAGTGAGGTGGGGTTAACTCAAGAAAGGCAGTTAGCAGAGATAAGGTCCTCTTGACTGCGGATCATGGTAGGGAGGTTACCTCTCTTGCAGGAGCCTGATGACTAAACAAGGGGGAGATATACCTGCCTCAATTTTGTGCATGATCACTGAAAGCTGGATCCTAGAGTAATGGGCTCTTTAAAATAGAGCTTGTGCTTCAATATTTGCATGTATGTGACACTAGGGGCAGGAAGGTAAGTAGAGAGAGGGAAAGGAACCACATGAAGTTCCCTTGTCCCTGACACCCTTCGATATTCTACTGATCTAGAAGTTCTGTTTACTTCCAGGCGTTCTGTCTATTGGCGTGGTGCCTGTGGTGACTTCACAAGCTCTAATATGGATCCTGATAAGCCTTCCTGCTCCCCATCTGTCTAAATATTTACCAGTGCCCATGGGGATTGGTCTGTGTTATCTTCTATTTCAATTAAAACAAGCTGGGAACACGTCTTAGTTTCCAAAGATAGAGTATAGAATTCCAAAATGTTCCTTTAAGTCAAGACAAATTAGATCACTTCTTTACAGAAGTATCTTGTCCTCTTAGCTAGATCAGAGTGTCTGAGTAACAGCTGTAGGGTAAGATTTCCAGGTGATAGAGTAATTATTGCCTTTCCCATGAACTACTGGGGAAAGAAGCATTGACAGCTATAACTCACAATGGACAATTACAGTTTGGGTTGGAGAGGGAAAGTTTAATTAGAAATTTAGATCTTAGTTAAATGGTCATCTCCTACTAGGTAAATGAAGGCAAAATTCAAATAAATACAAAACAAATGCATTTTTTTAAATGCCCAAAGATTCCCTAACAAAACTGAAACAAAAATCAAGAAAACAATTCCATTAATAACAGCATCAAAAAATAAAACACCTAGGAAGAAACAAGGAGGCAAAAGATCTACACACTGAAAATGAAAAAAAAAAATAGTGAAAGAAATTAAAGAATGTAAAAATAAATGGAAAGATATCCTGGGCTGAAAATTGGAAGAATTAAGATTGTTAAAATGTCTATCCCCAACAAACCAATATGCAGATTCAGCAAAATTCCTATCAAAATCCCCATGGCATTCTTCAGAGAAATTTAAAAACAAAAACAAAAACTAAAATTTGTATGAAATGGTAAAAGAACCCAAATAGCCAAAACAATTCTGAGGAAAAAAAAAAGTTGAAGATCTCCCAATTCCTGGTTTTAAATTATATTACAAAGCTATAGTAATCAAAACAATATGGTATTGGCATAAAACCAGACACATACCAATGAAATAAAATTGAGAGTCCAGAAATAAATCCAAACACATATGGTCAAGTAATTTTTGACAAGGGCATCAAGAAGACACAATGGGGACAGGAGAGTCTCTTCAATAAATGGTGGTGGGAATACAATTTCCACATGCAAAACAATAAAACTGGACCCTTCTCTTATGCCATACACAAAACTTAACTCAAAATGGATAAAACATCTGAATAGAAGACCAGAAACAAGAGACTATGAAAACAATGGTAGAGTTCTATGTGTTTTGAGCCACAAAGTATTCAAATTACAGCATTAGGGGGAAAAAACAAAGTGCAAACCAATGTGTTTAATTTTTAAGTGGAGATTTTCTGGAGCAGAGCTGCAAGGCTGGGGCAGGGATAGAGGCTCATTACTCCTTCTACCCTTTGAATATTCCTTGTGGGTGATTTAAAGTTTTCTAAAATAAAAAATAAAATAAAATTTCAGAGGGGGGTTGTGGGCATGTCAATTGTTTCGATATTTCTTAAAGTGGAGAGAAATACCTAGTACATATTTTACTTGATACGTTCAGATCACAATGGTTTCTTGAAATAAACCTGTCTCTTGGCTTTAGTTTTACTAACTCTTTACCTAGTATCCCACAGAGCTCATCTCCCCTATAAGCTGATAAGGTCATTGTCTTCTCCACACTGTGACCCACAAGAGCCTACTCACCCCATAATCTCAAAGCCTCCTTCATGAGAGCAGAAATGCCCCTCTGAATCCTGAAATGAATTAGCCCTCTACTCTAATGGAATCCAGCTCCGGCCTCAAGGTCTAGACCTCCAGAGAGTGGCCACCTACACCTTCAGAAAATAAAAGGCATTTGATTCCTGGACTTATTCAATGAAAGCACTGTTCTTTTCTTTTTTGAATATTAAGAAGTAAATATTCCAGCAGATGGAAAATAGGAAAGTGTAGCACTGTTCTTATCATCACTATCAGCTGGGACCAGAACAGACACTCAATGAATAGCCTCACACTTCAATGAAGATTGGAGAACAAAGGAACATCAAAGGGACCTGGAGGGCAAGCGTAGCTCTTCTGCTCCCCAATTACATGCACACCCCAACTCACTGCAGCATCTGTCTCTGAGCCTTCTCCCAGCAGACCTATAAATCCAGGCTGGCTCCTCACTCCCCACACATCTGCTCCTGCTCTCTCTCCCCCAGGTGACCCTAGCCATGAGAACCCTCATCTTCCTTGCTGCTATTCTCCTGGTGGCCCTCAAGGCCCAGGCTGAGCCACTCCAAGCCGAGGATGAGCCACTCCAGGCAAGCACTTATGAGGCTGATGCCCAGGAGCAGCGTGGGGCAGATAACCAGGACTTTACCATCTCCTTCACAGCGGATGCAAACTCAAGTATTAGAGCTTTGGGTAAGAGACACCAGCATTGCAGAGCTAGGAGTGTAGAGAGGAAAACCAAGCACGTCTAGAATTAGACCCAACGGCTGGCTCTTTCTCTTAGGTGATCACCTCCCCAGGCCTGAATTACTTCATGTTTGTACTAAAAAGGAAGAATCAGTGATATTCAAAAAATGACTTTTCTCTAAAGATTTTTTTAATTCTATGACAAGTCTATGAAATTTTCTAATTTTTTGCTATGTAGGAATGTATTGAGGAGTCTCTACTTCAAGGAAGAGAGCCTAATTTTAAAGAAATGTTTTGTTTTGTTTTGTTTTGTTTTGTTTGATGGAGTCTCACTCTGTCACCCAGGCTGGAGTGCAGTGGCACTATCTCAGCTCACTGCAACCTCCGCCTCCTGGGTTCAAGCAATTATCTGCCTCAGCCTCCCAAGTCGCTAGGATTATAGGCACCACCCACCACACCTGACTAAATTTTGTAATTTTTTTAGTAGAGACGGGGTTTCACCATCTTGGCCAGGCTAGTCTTGAACTCCTGACCTTGTGATACACCCACCTTGGCCTCCCAAAGTGCTGGGATTACAGGCGTACGCCACCACATCCAGCTGCTAAAGGAATGTTTTTTAATCTGACTTTTATAGGAACCATTGGAAGCTGGAGACAGCCATACATGTCCATTCAGACGTGTGTGTGACAGGTCAGGAGCAGATAAGTGCAGCATATCAGAATGGGTCTCTAATCCTGTGTGCGACCAACACTGCTCTGCATATTTATTCCTATTGATCGTGCGATCATGCTATTGGCTGTAATGCAGCCAGCATTACATGTCAGCAAGCATGCAACTTCCCGAGGATTCTCTTTACTGCCCGCTGCTGACCCTGGTACTCAATGTCTGATGCTCTGTCTCTCTCTGTCCCCAGGCTCAACAAGGAGTTTCACTTGCAATTGCAGAAGGTCCTGTTATTCAACAGAATATTCCTATGGGACCTGCACTGTCATGGGTGTTAGCAACAGATTCTGCTGCCTCTGAGGGATGAGAACAGAGAGAAATGTATTCATAATTTGCTTTATGACCCAGAAGGAAACTGTTTTATGCCCTATACTTTGTCATCAACTTTGTTTCCTCATCTCAAATAAAGTCCTTTCAGCAAGTTCTCTGTGCTTGTGCTTTTCTGATGTTTGATAATTCAGGATCTTCAAATGCAAAAACAAAAAACCCAAGTCTTCTCTCAAAACACTAGCTCTTCAAAAGAGTTTTCTATGTACACCAGAGAAATGGTAGAGAGGATGTTGAGAGAAGAGAGGATTTGCGTTTTTGTTTTTTGTTTTTTGCTTTCTGAGATGGAGTCTTGCTCTATTGCCCAGGCTGCAGTGCAGTGGCACGATCTTGGCTCACTGCAACCTCTACCTCCTGGGTTCAAAAAATTATCCTGCCTCAGCCTCCCGAGTAGCTGGGATTACAGGTGTGCACCACCATGCCCAGCTAATTTTTGTATTTTTAGTAGACACAGGGTTTCACTATGTTGACCAGGCTGGTCTCGAACTCCTGAGACCTCAAGTGATCCACCCACCTTGACTTCCCAAAGTGCTGGAATTACAGGCATGAGACACCGCACCTGGCCTTAAGCACTCCGTTTTAATGTTAATGCTGGCCAGCTGTGCCTGAATTCCAATGGGAGGAGGGTATAATGAGGCATTCCTGATCCCCACATCCCATCATGGCCTGAACTAGTGTTTGAGGTTAAGGATGGAATGCCTTTGGCTGAGAGGAAGGGTCCATTCAGTTGGTTGGAGGGCTTAGAATTTTATTTTTGGTTTGCATGGGATACGAACACAGGAGGAATGAGCCTGGGGGTCCTGGCCCTTCTGACTCTGGCCAGAACCTTGCCAACCCAGTGTCCCACTAGAGTGAGCCCACAGCCAAGGCCAGTCATCCTTCACCACCCATTCTGCTTCCTCATGCACACCACACGTCTACAAGAACACAGGCCCTCTCTCTTTGCCTTGTCCCTTGTCACTATGTGCAGAGACAAGGGGGTGACAACAGATGGTCCTGGGTATAACAACAACCCTGACATTCATCCAGAGGTCTGGCCAGACTCCCAGTCCTTCTGCCATCCTGCTGGGTCTTCTTACCTCTTTGTAGGAGACGCCACGTTAAAGTGGCCTATTTTCCAGTTCTCTAAAACACAGAGAGAAGACATGGAGGGAATGATTCTCCAAGACAGGACGGAAGGAGGAGAAACATGGAGTCACAAAACCCATTTCCAAGCCTGACTTTGCTGCTTTCTACCCGAATGGACTCGACAAACCCAGCACAAAAACAGAGCCTTCATTTCCTCCTCCATAACCTTGTGGCAGCTGCCTCAAAACCTGACTATGGGACCTAACACGATTCCTGATAAAGGCGGTCAGAGACTTAGACATCAAAGGTGGGGAATATATAACACAGTCAGATAGCAAAGGTGGGGGGTGACCTAGTAAGTG